ATGTATGAGAACCAGGCTTAGCCTCTAAGCTTCCAACCCCAAAAAGGACACTATAGAAATGAAATCTGCCACTAGGCCATATTGGGGGTAGAAGGGTGGAGCTTGTCTCATGCATTCCTTTCTCCTTTTCAGGGTGGCTTTCTGGGGGGGCAACTTAATTCCAGATCAGAAGTTACTTTCTCAACATCTTGCATACCTCCTGCCAAATTTTCCTGCATGCTTGGAGGTACACCTGGGACTATCCCTTTGCTGTTTCCAGTTTGCAATCAACTTGATGCTGATGTACAAACATTTTTAGTATGGTGCCATCCTAAGAAGGCACATTTTAGCCTGACCTTCTGGTCAATAGAAGTTACAATAACATCTTGCAGGGAGCTCACGGCTGCTTTAGGATTGTGACCTAAAATGTCTAAGAATGGGACAGGAGGCTACAAACAAATTGTAGCAAGCAGAGGGCAAAATAAGCAGCCTTTCATCACACTTCTCCCTTTATAGATCTGTTTACCCTTTCTAGCATTCAAAAGAGGAAGGCTTTCCCGAAGATGCAAACCGAAGGCATGTGTACCATATCTGTTTTTCAACAGATGGTCTGCAAGGGTTACTGACTAAACAAAGGAAACAATGGGCACAGTCTAAAAAGGAATGTTAAGAATACCAAGTTCATGTAAAAAGTAAGCTGTTCAAGACCTGCAATTAAAAGATCCAAAAAGAAGTGTGGAGTGTGTTGCCAAACAGGTGCCTTATAATTTAGTTGCGTGAACAGAGCCGTCAGCATCATTCAGTGAAAACCAGAACAGATATGGCTCACAGCAACTTCTTTAAGATGAAGACTCAACAAAACCTTAAAATTGAATATGTGCATTATATAGAAATGTATGTATTCCTGGCTCTGCTGTATGGCATGGAATTGTGATATTCTAACACATGGAATCATTTTTAAAAAAAGAGATAAAAGCATTTGAAGTGCATAAGTATTACAGGGTACTAAGAACCAACGAAGAAATGCTGAAGCAAATGAATAAAAACTGAAAAATCACAGAAGGTGGGAAGCACTTTGGTCATCTAATGAGGAAGCAAGAACTTAGATGGTTAGATCATTCAAGGTAAAAGAAATGGGGAAGAGAAAGCAAGAAGGAGAACTTATTGACTGAAGAACCTGGGAAACTGGTTTGGATGCAACACAACATCATTGCCCAGAACTGCTCCTTCCAAAGTTAAGAGTCACAAAAAAAGGAAGCGGAATCATCTCTTTTATTGATAAGCAGATCGTAGTGGTTTGCTGACGGAGAGCCGAGCCGCCTTATTCTGCAGCTCTAATAGTAACGAAGTTTGGGTGATCTTGAAGATTAATTAAATTCTTCAGCGAAACCCACCCCCAACCCTCTCTGGTTTATGAATGTGGGATGATGCGATCTGATCATGCACGCGATTCCGAAAGCCTGAAAATGGCTTGATATTTTTGCACAATATCGTGCCGGTGTTGCCAGCAGGGAAAAAGATGCCGAGTTTTACACGGCAAAGAGCAGCTTGAACGCGGGCAGCCTTAACAGCGGCGGTCAAGATGGTCTATACTGGATGGCGACCCTCTTGCGCTCCCTGCTACTCACAGAGCGACACCAGGCAAGGGAAAATGCCAACAGCCGACCGGACCTTTTCCCATCAGTTCACCCAAACACACAGCCACGGTCAGGGCGGTGTTTCAACAAACGTGAACGGTAGTGAGCAGAAGAGGGGATCTCGCGGATCATCTTGACGGCTGCCGCCTTTGGTGGGTCAAATCCAGACTTCGGCTCCTCTGCTCGCTGGCAGCAGGAACCCGCCTCGAGGGTCTTCAAGGTCCCCCGCATTGCAAGCCGGTCGCAAACCGGGCGCCCTGGGGAAGACGCCGCCCGGTGAGGACCCGCACTCGGAGGTTCTGCCCGGATCCTTCCCGCAACGCAGGGGAGGCTGGGGCGCGGCTGCTCCGTCTCTCTCTCCCTCCCCCTTCCCCGCACGTCTGCGGCAGCCGCGCCGTGCAAACCCCCAGGTAGATCCCCGAGCCCCGGGGGCAGCCGCGGGAGCGCAACCTTGCGCGTCCCAGACCCCTTCCACCCCCGCCCCGCTTTCCCGGGCGATGGCGGCGTGCTTCCTCTTTCCCTCCCGGCTTCCCCTTCCCCTTCCCCGTCGCCAATCCCAGGCCGGGTGGGGGCAGGGCCGCCGCCGCCGCCCGGTCTGATTCACACGACCTCTCCTTGCGGAGCTGCGCTCACACAGCGGGAGCCGCCAGCCCGCCTCGACAGCCCTGCAGCCGTGCCGCCGCCGGGACCCGGGAGCCAGGCGACCGCACACCGGCCATGGCCTCCCCTCTCCTCCGGCGGGCGGCCCTCTTCCTCCTTATGCCTCTCCTGGGCGCTTGGATCGGCGCC